TAAACAAATTTGCAGTGGAAATTTTGTACCCTGCTAGAGAATTCTCTAGGCAGCGATTTGATCTTCAGTTTGTCTCATTTGTAAGGCATTTATTTTATTTAAAAATGGTTATTATAAAGGTGCTATAGAGAGGGATTACAGTTATATAAGTCAGGTAATGAGTATATTTCTTTTTATACAGTGTCATCCTTTCCTTCACTCTCTTAGATGATGATATTTGAAGGTCAAAGTTGCAGAGCCTAGGAAGGCAGAATATCTAACTCTGGTTTCTGGGCTCTAATTAGTCTCAGTAACCAAGGTCAGTCTCCCCTATTTAGGCTTTTTTGGGGGTCTGTTGTGGGGTTTGAACCCTTGGCGCTGCTCAAGGCTAGCTCTCTATTACTATGAGCCACACAGTGTCACTTCTGGTTTTCTGGTGGTTAATTGGAGATAAGAGTCTCATAGACTTTCCCATTCAGGCTGGCTGCTTTGAACTAGGATCCTCAGATCTCAGCTTTCAGAGTAGCTGGGATTACAGGCAAGAGCCACCACCAGCACCTGGCCTAGACTCGATGCTTGGCTCTTTCCTTGAAAGCACAGCTCTCCTCTAGTTGTTTCTTTCTTTTTCTTTTTCTTTTTTCTTTTTTTGGGTCCAGTTGTGGGGCCTGAACTCTGGGCCTAGGTGCTGTCCCTCAGCTCTTCAGCTCAAAGCCAGTGCTCTACCACTTGAGCCACAGCGCCACTTGCGGCTTTTTTTCTTTTTGCTTATGTGGTGCTGAGGAATCGAACCCAGGGCCTCAGGCATGCAAGGCAAGTGCTCTACCACTGAGCCACCTTCCCAGCCCCCTCTAGTTGTTTCTTAAGTGTTAGACACTTTTTTCCCCTGGGGTTGCTTAAAGAGAATCAGAAACGGATTTAAACAGTGCCTTCTTCCTCCTTTGTTGGGCTACCTGTGACCTGAGATTTCAGGTAAGCTTGCTCTCCCTTCTGTTTATTGACAGGCAGGCTTGTCTGGCCCTAGGGACTTGTCACATGTTTTCTGGGCCACATATATTTCACACCCTGGGTTCCCAGCTGCTGCTGTCCCCTCATCCATCCCTTTCTATCTCTTCTTCATTTCTTTCTTTCTTTCTTTTTTTTTTTTTTTGTTGGTCGTGGGGCCTGAACTCTGGGCCTGGGCGCTGTCCCTCGGCTCTTCAGCTCAAGGCTAGCACTTTACCACTAGAGCCACAGTGCCACTTTTGGCTTTTTCTGTTTATGTGGTGCTGAGGAATCGAACCCAAGGCCTCATGCATGCATGGCAAGCACCCTACTATTGAATCACCTTCCCAGCCCCCTCTTCCTCATTTCTAAACCCACATCTCGCAGTCCCTTTAGCTGCTGTCACACCCTCCTCTTCAAGGGTTGCTCCAGGAAAATGTGAGAAGCCTGGACTCACCAGTGGGTTCATTTGCCTGGGGAAAGCATGGGAAATACATACTTTCTTGTACCTGGGGTTGTTTGAAGTGCCTTGTTTGCACTATTTCTTATAAATCTCATAATTCAAGGAGATATTTACTGTTAAAGGTCATGAGCCCCAGATTGGAAGTGATTAAAAACCCAGACTTCAGGCCTATTGCTCTGCCATTCTTTCTGTTTTTGAGATGCCCCTTAGAGCCTTATTCTGCTGTCTAGCCTTGTAGTTCTGTTTCCATGCAGGCTTGATATTTTGCTTCCCTCTAGATTTAAAAAAATGTCTAATTTTTATATAAAGATGATGTACAGAGGGGTTAAGTTTCATGTCAGGTAATGAATATATATATATATGACACTGTCATCCCTTCCTTTGCTCTCTCCGTTTTTCCTTTCTGTCCCCCACCCACAAGTTTCTGTATAGTTTATTTTCAACATAGTGAGTACCACTGCTGAATTTGTAGATTTTTTTTTTAAACAGAGAAATGAAAAAACCAGCTCCCAGCTTTGTCTTCTAAGGATCATACCTCCTTCTAGAATGATTACTTTCTTAATTGGAAGAGGATGTTCATGAGCACTTCATTCACTGATTATTTAAATATTTTAAAGCCATGGAACTATTTCTTTGAAAGTGATTCTGGGAACCCAAATGTAAGAAGCACACAAGGGGTGCTGCTGGAAGTGCTGGCGATGGAGAGAGCTCCAGCGCTTGCTCTGCCCATGCTGCTTAAAGGGAGACGCTTGTTAGCAGAGACAGGATGCTGTTGGACATTCTTTGAAAGCTCCTGCTCAGCTCTCATTTTAAAGATAAGCTGAAGCCCAGAGAAGCAAAATGGTTGGTGAGTCAGGACTAGTGCCTAGCCCACTTTTCCTTCCTTCCTTCCTTCCTTTCTTCCTTCCGATCTTTCTATTGTTCCTTTTTTTTTTGGGGGGGGTCCGGTCATGGGGCCCGAACTCTGGGCCTGGGTGCTGTCCCTCAGCTCTTCAGCTCAAGGCCAATGCTCTAGCACTTGAGCCACAGCACCACTCTTGGCTTTTTTTTTCTGCTTATGTGGTGCTGAGGAATCGAACCCAGAGCCTCATGCATGCAGGGCGAGTGCTCTACCACTGAGCCACCTTCCCAACCCTCATTTCTTTTTGTTGTTGTTGTTGGTAGCGGGCCTCAAACTCTGGGCCTGGGCTCTGTCTCTCAGCTCTTCAGCTCAAGACTAGTGGTCTACCACTTGAACTATAGCGCCACTTGCGGTTTTCTGGTGGTTAATTGGAGATTAGAGTCTCACAGACTTTCCTGCTCAGGCTGGCTTTGACCTGTGATCCTCAGATCTCAGCCTCCTGAGTAGCTAGGATTACAGGTGTGAGCCACCAGTGTATGGCTCGTTCCTTCTTTCATTCTCTCTTTCTTTCTCTCCAATAGGCTTTCCACATAAATCCACTTGTGTTTCTAAGTATAAACCCAGTGCAGTGCAGAAAGGGATATTCAGAGGAGACAGTGATGGTGGGGTGGGGGAGGCTAAGCTTCTTCCCCTGCCTTTCTCATCACCAATAAACCTCACTTTACCACCCCCCTGGGGGGAAACGGTCAGTGAGATGATCACAGAAACAGAGATACATGGGGGTAAGGTGAAGTGAAAAGGGTGAAGGGACTGTCACCTCTAGTCTTGCTCCTGCATCCTCTTGGGCAAGTTCTAGTCCCCTTTCCTTTGAAGGCTCTCTGCCAACCAGCAGCAGGCACAAAAGTAGACTATAGAAAGGGCACACTGGGAGGCAAACTTAGCCAGCCCTGCACTGCCTAGGTAGAGCTGAATATTTTCAGGCAACTCCAAAAAACTCCCTGGCCCTTGGGTTTCACACATGTAAAGTGGGCCTTTTAGGCTCTGATAGTAATGGCTTTGGAAAGGGAGCCTGTACTTACAGATATAGGGAATGGGCAGATTTAAATTATAGGAATTATAGGTTTAGGGGCTAATCGTGATCAGGTACTCTATTCTAGCTTTTTGTTTGTTTGTTTTAGACTGGGTCTCCATTATGGAGCCCAGGCTAGCCTGGAACTCCCAATCTTCCTGCTTCAGCCTCCCAAGAACTGGGTTTACAAGCATGCAGATCCACACCAGGAAACTAGACAGCCACAGTAGCTCTCCTGCTTTCCTCCAAGCTCTGCATTCTGAAGATTCAGCTCAAAGCAGTTCTGTGTGTGTAGTTTTGAATACTTCATTGACTTTCAAAACTTTCACAGTTTTTTTTTCCAAAACAGTATATGCTTGTTATAAAATTTTCCATTAATACAGGAAGTGAAAAAAGTAAAAAACTGTAAATGGCTGTCCTCCTCCTGGTCTAATTCCTTTGGTCCCCAGGGGTGTCTCCTGTTGATATCTGACTGGGTCTCTGATCCTGCCCTTTCTTTCTTTTCTTTCCTTTTTTTATTTTTTGAGACAGGGTCTTATTATATAGCCCAGGCCAGCATGGAATTTGCTAGGTAGCCAAGGCTGACTTTCAACATCCTTCTGCCTATGGCTTCTGTGTGCTGGTATTACAGGCATGGATCACCACCCTTGGCTCTATCCTACCCTTTCTGATAAATGCTTGTCTGCCTTTCTTCCCAATAAATGGAACTATAGTATAAATTAATCAATTACACACTTTAGAATGAGACACTCCAGTATGCTGGTCCCTGACCTTGGCCAAGTTATTCAACCACTTTTAGCCTCAACCTTCTTGTGTGAAAAACGGGGGGGGGGGGGGGGGGGTTTAATAAAATACTATCTGCCTGGTAGGATTATGGTGACGATTTAATGAGATTTTTTTATATGAAAGTGCCAACAGTGCCAGGCACATACTTAGTGCTGCACACATGTGCACACTGACTGGGAAGTACAGAATGTGTTAGAGGTAGAGTACAAATGCCTGGATTTCTGCCACACCTCTGCTTCTCATCTAAATCCCTTTGGGCCCATGTTCAGTAATCAGTACTTGTTGAATGAATGATGGGGGTGGAGGACCAGGGATTTGTGGTCTATGGAGTGCCTTGAGATGCCTGCTCTGGAAAATGGAGGGTTTTGCCTTTGGATCCAGAGGTGTGGGACAGCAGGGTTGGCTAGACCAGCCATGGTGGGAGAATTGAGCTTCAGGGTCGAGCAGAGGGCCCAGAGTGGCTCTCAGCTTAAAGGATCTTGGCTTAAAAGGAATGTGTAGTGGGCTGCCTCTGTTCAGAAGGGGCTAAAAAAAGCCGCAGCCTCCCCTGGGCTTTGTGTGAGGGTTATCAACTGCTCAAGTCAGCTCATCTCTTTGGCTATTCTGGCACTTTTGAGAGGGTCTGTTTTCCTGGCCTCTTGGGTTTCTACTGATTGGCAGGAAGGGGTTCCAGCCTGCCCAGAGGTGGAGGCTATGAGGAATGAGGTGTGTGTGTTGAGGGGGGAATGGGAGGGGTCTGGTGGCCCCAAACCTGGTGACAATACCCAGTTGTCAGCTGTACCCTGCTGGTGTTTTTCTTCCTTTTATAGTCAGTAGCAGTTGCTCTTGCTCTCACCCAGCTCCTCTGTGGGGGCTCCTGCCCAGGATAAAAGCGGAGGGAGCTGGCCCAGTCTCCCATCTTGTCACTCAGGAGTTCCATCTCTTGGTTCCTTCTCAGGTACCACCTTCACTGAAGATCCCACGAGAACATGCCTCCCAAGAAGCCGGAGCCAAAGAAGGAGGCGACCAAGCCAGCCCCAGCCCCAGCCCCTGCCCCTGCCCCGGCCTCTGCTCCTGAGGCCCCCAAGGAGTCTGCCTTTGACCCCAAGAGTGTAAAGGTGAGTGAAGCATGGGGTATGGGGTGACAGTCAAAGACCTATCAGCTCTGGAGATCAGACCAGAGTGAAGACTCTGATGTCCATGGCCCAGATCTCTGGTATTAGACAAGGGGAGATGAAGTGCATCTCAGGTCATAACTCTTCTCCCTTGAGAACAGGTTGCTACTGAGTGCTAGGAGATCCTCCCTAGGTACCCCACATTTTCCCAGAAGAGTCATGAATGGTGGGAGGTATAACCAATCAGCCAACCATGTAGTCTTTAAACTTTTTTTTTTTTTTTCCTATCCTGGGGCTTAAACTCAGAGCCTGGGTGCTGTCCCTGAACTTTTGTACTCAAGGTGAATGCTTTATCATTTTGAACCATAACTCCATTTCCAGCTTTTGTTTTTTTCTGAGTCTCAAGGACTTTTCTTGACTGGGCTGGCTTCAAACCATGATCCTCAGATCTCAGCCTCCCAAGTCATTAGAATTATAGGCATGAGTCACAGGTGCCAGGCTCATGCAGTCTTTTTAAGTCACTGTGTGGTTATTGGGTGAAGTAAAGGAAACTGGCCTTTTCCCTGGGAGTTGGTACATTGTCTTTATGGAAAGCAGCCAGGAAGGACGCTGCCTCTGTGCTAGAGACCTGGGCAGAGCTGTATTCACAAGCAGTCCTTCAGGAGGGAGCGGGGAAGGAAGCCTATAGATAAAGTGAGAGTCACTGGGGACTTATCGCTCCCTTTTTCCCCTACCCTGGTGGGCCCCTCCTTTTGTAGCCTTAGCCTCAATTTCTATGTGTTGTTTACAGCCGACTGGCCTACCAGAGGTTGGAGACAAGTCTGCTTCCCTCAGCCTCCCCAGCTCCTCTTGGCTCTTTCCTGTTCCCTTCCCCCTGGAGCCTCTTTGCCCCTAGAACTAATGTGGGCCCCACTGGCTGACGCAGTCATTTCAGGCCTCTCAGCAATCTGGCCCAGCTGCTGAAGGAATGAACAGGGAGGGGTCAGCCCTCTGAGACTCCTCTTGGAGGCCTCTGAAGAGGGGCAGTTTTAAGCTTTGGCACTACAGTGGGAGAGGTCAAGTGGCCACTGGTATGAAGAGCTATTAATAACAGGCTGGGGAGTGGTGGGCCTCTGGAGATCTCAGCCTTAGGGCAGACTTAAGGTGTGGTGAGGAATCAGGCCCAAATCAGAGGCCAGGTTCTGTGAATAAAAGAGGGAATCTAAAGCACCAAGATCTCCCAGCACAATAGCATACTCTATAATATTGTGTAAGGACCCTGGAGTTGAATCCTGGTGATCCCCGTATGGGGCAGGAGTTAAGCAGAACTGGCTTGACCAAGAGATGGAGGTAGTCACCCCATTCCTGGGTAAGTCACTCCCATTATGGAAGAGAAGTGGACTTATCTGTTTCCTTAGGAGCCCTCCTTGCCTTTATTTCTGATTTTATTTATTTGTGTTTTTGTCAGTCTTGGGACTTGAACTCTGAGCCTGGGCACTGTCCCTCAGCTCTTCAGCTCAAGGTTAGTTCTTTACCACTTGAGCCACAGTGCCACTTCTGGTTTTCTGGTGGCTTATGGGAGATAAAATTCTCATAGACTTTCCTGCCTGGGCTGGCTTTGAATGACAATCCTCAGATCTCAGCCTCCTGAGTAGCTAGGATTACAGGCATGAGCCACTGGCAACTGGTTCTGATTTGTTTTGCTTTGATAAAGTACCACACCTGGTCCCTGGCATCTTAACAGCAGCTGCCTGGTGGCATCAGATGTATGCTCTTTCTTTGATCTGTCCCATCCACCTTTTCCAGAGTTGCTGCTTGGAATTCTCTTTTCTATGTCCGCATCTTCTAACTGGGAGATGTTGAAGTTGCTTTAAAGTAGTAGTTAAGATCATCATCTTTCATAAGAACTGCTTCCCTGGGCTGGGAAGGTGGTTCAGTGGTAGAGTGCTTGTCTACCATGCATGAGGCCCTGGGTTCAATTCCTCAGCACCACATAAGAAGAAAAAGCCAGAAGTGGAGTTGTGGCTCAAGTGGTAGAGTGCTAGCCTTGAGCTGAAGAGCTGAGGGACAGTGCCCAGACCCAGAGTTCAGGCCCCACAACCAACAAAAAAAAAAAAGAAAGAAAAAAGAACTGCTTTCCTCTAGTAATGTACTTACCCAGTTCCATTGCTTCTAAGGTTCTTCACTCAAATCGAGAGCCAAAGTAAACCTAAGCCCAATGTTCTGCTTCTATGCAAGTTTCCCTCACATGTTTTTACTTCTGGAATGTAGAGTATCGAAAGTAAGGCAAACTGTACCTTTTCCTCAGAGAGTTAATGTGGAACATATTCCATTTTGGGGTTCCTTTTAACTTCCTCATTTCCCCCCACCTGCAACTTGACAAATCCAATTCTGATAACTGCTTTCCCTTCTGAGCCTTCCTGATGGACACAACAATAGCAACGGTATTAAGACCAGGATGGCCCTGAAGAAGATGCTCCACTATTTCCTTGTGGTATAACCACCCCCACTGGGGTAGGGGGGATGGAGTAGAGTGAGATGAGAGAGGACAAGAAGATCTGGATTCAAATAATGACTTCATGCTTGTCATCACCCTTGTTTTCAGAGCTTCTCTTCTGATATTACATTGGTATTGAGTCATTATGGATTGTGAGGGGAAAACCAAAATTCACTGCTTCAGACAACACATTTTTTTATGAGTGCCTACTATATGCCAAGCATTTCAATGACAATAAATCTCTGCTCTGAGGGAACCCTGGTTTTGAGGAGACAGGGCACAGGGAAAAGGAGGAACTAGGAAAAAGTCACGAAGCTTTGAGGGCACATGCACAGGACTGAGCAGCTAAGAGGACAGGTGCTGAAGGGAAAGGATGGGGTGGGATGGTGGAAAGAAGAGGACAGGGGATGGAGGCCAAGTGGAGAGGGACAGTGGGAAGGAAAGCTTCATTGATTGACAGGCAGCATCAAGTAGGAAAGAGAGTTCTGTTGGGCAGAGATGGCACCCAGAGGAAGAGGAATGGCATCTTGTCAGAGGACTATAAACTAGGGAGACAGAGTGAAAGTGAAGGAAATTTAGGAATGGCTAGGATGAGCAATCTGTTTTTTGTTGTTGTTGTTGGGTCTGGTCGTGGGGCCTGAACTCTGGGCCTAGGCGCTGTCCCTCAGCTCTTCAGCTCGAGGCTGGTGCTCTACCACTTGAGCCATAGTGCCACTTCCAGCTTTTTCTGCTTATGTGGTGCTGAGGAATCAAACCCAGGGCCTCAGGCATGCAAGGCAAGTGCTCTACCACTGAGCTACCTTCCCAGCCCTGAGCGATCTGTTTTTGACCAAAAGTAATTGAATAGGAGGAATCTTATCAGTTCTAGAGTTATGTAGATTATGTCTCTTTCTCTTCCTGGTAAGTACTGAGAGCTTTGGAGGCTGCGTTATTTTACAAGTTGTTAGCTGTGGCCCTTTCATCAGGAGACTGGTGGGTTTTTGTTTGTTTGTTTTTTTTGTTTTTGGTCGTCGTGGGTCTCTGGGCCTGGGCACTATCCCTCAGCTCTTCAGCTCAAGGCCAGTGCTCTACCGCTTGAGCCCCAACGCCACTTCCAGTTTTCTAGTGGTTTAGTGGAGATGAGAGTCTCATGGACTTTCCTGCCTGGGATGGCTTTGAACCTTGATCCTCAGCTCTCAGCCTCCTAAGTAGCTAGGATTACAGGTGTGAGCCACTGGCGCCCGGCAAGACTGGTGTTTTATATTAAGCTAAGTCCCCTTCCTTCCTCATCAGTGGGGTGGAGGTGGCTAGACTTCCCTTTGTAAGCTTTAAAAGTCTCAGCCCTGGGCAGGGAAGGTGGCTCAGTGGTAGAGTGTCTGCCTTGCATACATGAGGCCCTGGGTTTGATTCCTCAGCACCACATAAGTAGAAAAAGCCAGAAGTGGTGCTGTGGCTCAAGTGCTAAGCGAGCACTTGAGCTGAAGAGCTGAGGGACAGTGCCTGGGCCCAGAGTTCAAGCCCCACACTGACATAAGGTAAATAAATAAATAAAGTCTCAGCCCTCACTCTTCTTTCTCCCCACAGATTGACTTCACTGCAGACCAGATCGAAGGTGAGTACAATTCCTCTTCTCTTGATTGCACTTACTTTTCTGGAGAAGGAGGAAGAAGAGAAGGGGTTGTTGTCCTCGCAGTAATAGTACTTATTATCATTAAAACAAACCTATAGTGAGCACTTACCATGCATTAGGCGCAGTCTGAAACACTTTATATGGATTAATTCATTTAATTCTTTTTTTTTTTTTTGGGGTCTGGTTGTGGGGCCTGAACTCTGGGCCTGGGTGCTGTCCCTCAGCTCTTCAGCTCAAAGCTAGCGCTCTACCACTTGAGCACCACTTCCGGCTTTTTTTTCTTTTTGCTTATGTGGTGCTGGGGAATCGAACCCAGGGCCTCATGCGTGCAAGGCAAGCGCTGTACCACTGAGCCACCTTCCCAGCCCTTCATTTAATTCTTATAGCTACCCTAAGAGGCAGTAGCTATCACAGGTGTAGCATTTTACAAGTGACAAAATGAAGGCACAAAGCCTTCATGTGGAGGCATGTACTTGTAATCCTATCATTCATGAGACTGAGAGAGGAAGATTGCAAGTTGAAGGTCAGCTTTAGCTACCTCAAAACAACAACAAAGAAAAACAAAACAAACAAACACAAGAACCCCTTCACTGCAGAGAGGGTATCCTGATTCAGCCCCTGCATTTAAAACACGCGTGCATGCGCGCGCGCGCGCGCGCACACACACACACACACACACACACACACACACACACACACACACACGAGTTAGGTGGGGTTTCAATATGTAACTGGAATGGCCTTAAACTCTTGATCATCCTGGCTTAGCTTCCAGAGTACTGAGATTACAGGTTTGCACTACTATGCCTGGAAATATTCTGTTTTAAAAATTAGTAAACGAGCCAGATGCTGGTGGCTCACACCTGTAATCTTAACTACGCAGGAGGCTGAGATCTGAGGATCATAATTCAAAGTCAGACAGGTCAGAAAAGTCTGTGAGACTCTTATGTCCAATTAACCACCAGAAAACTGGAAGTGGCTCTGTGGCTCAAGTGTTAGAGCACTCACCTTGAGCTGAAGAGCTCAGGGACAGTGCCCAGGCCCAGAGTTCAAGCCCCATGATGATGATGATGACGACGACCACAACCACCACCACCACCACCAACAACAAAAATTAGTACATGCACATGGTAAAACAAAAAAAAAAAAAAATATACTATGGAAAAATGAATAATAGGCTGGGAAAGCTAATGCATGCTTGTAATCCAAGCACTCAGGGAGTGGAGGCAGAGGACTGAGAATTCAAGACCTTCCTGGGCTTGAATAATAAATAATAAAAGAAATGAAAAATAAAATAAAAAAGAAATAGAAATAAATAAAGAAAAATAAAATAAAAAAGAAAAAGAAAAAACACTAGTAAATAAAAAAAGTGTGTTTTTCTCTCCCAAAGACAACACTGTTAGCAGACCTTTATATATCCTGTATATAAAAACCTACAACTATCTATGCATAAAAACTTTACACAAACCAAGCCATGTGATACTGCTCCACATCCTTCATGACCTATATGTATTTGCATTTAATTACATAATATATAATAATATATTTGGAAATTATTTAATAATTCACATAGTGTGCTAACTTTTTTTCCCAGATGATTCCATAACACCTCACAGATGCAGTCAGGACTACATGGCTGCATGTTCAGGTTGTTCCTGTCAGGGAGATCACTGTTTTCCTCAAGTGAATCTCCCAGCAGTGGGAAGGAGGGTTCCTCCATTTGAGTTCTAACTGTACTGTCAAACGACCTTCTGAATATTTGTTGTTCTACAAATTGAGCATGAGAGCTGGCATGTGCATTTTGAAACGACTGAATTAACTCCAGTTCTTTTATTATAGGACCTGTGGATATTTCAGTCAATAGTTTTTTAGGGGTGCTGTGAAGTTTTGATAGTTAACTTTTATTTAGTGCTATTTTAATTAAAGAGATGCTTACACAGACATACAAACTCCTCAGTACCAGGGAGGATTGGAAAATGTACTAAAGTGCAAATATTTTCATTTCCCAAAAGGAAATCATGGTTAGAACCAGTTGGGACAACTGGTTGGGCTTTGCTTTCCTTAGAGATTTTCAGGGATAGAGAGCTAGTTTATTCCGATCTTTCAATCTTTCATCACCTTACTTTGAAGCTTCTTCCCCCCCTCCCTCATTTTGCTGGTTCAGTTTCTCCTCTTCCCTTCCCTCCCTGCCCCTCCTCTCTACTATTTCCTTAATAGTTAGAAGTGACATCTGCACTGGCTTATAATAAGTGAGTGTAATAATACCTATAGCATAAGGTTCTTGTAAAGTTCAATGAGGTAATCCATACAAAATTACTAGCACAGGGCCAGGCCCCCAGGAAATGCTGAAACCATAGGTCATTCTGCCTAAAACCCTTTCCCTCACATTCCCATCTCCTACTGAGCATTTCCCTGTCTTCTTAGACTAGAAGATTCCTTCTTTTGTCCAATCTGACTTCACTTCTCCTCCACCTCCTCCTCTTCGTCTTCCTCCTCTTAGTCTTCTTCCTCCTCCTTCTTTTATGCCAGTCCTGGGGCTTGAACTCAAGGCCTCATGCTCTTGCTTGGCTTTTTTGCCACCATTTGAGCCACTTTTGACTTTTTGGTGGTAAATTGGAGATATGAATCTCACGAACCTTACTGCCCTGACTAGCTTCAAACCACAGTCCTCAGATCTCAGCTTCCTGAGTAGCTAAGATTACATGTGTGAGCCACCAGCTTGAATTTACACTTCCAGACAAGTTGTAAGAGGATCAAAAGTCTGAGTTCAAATTTAACTAACAAATCTATACCTTCTGAGCCTTTGTGCCAGTTGGTCATGGGGCCAGCTCAAGGCTAGTGCTCTACCACTTGAGCCACAATGCCACTTCTGGTTTTCCTGCTTATATGGTGCTGATAAATCAAACCCAGGGCCTCATGCATGCCACCTTCCCAGCCCCCTATCTCCTGTTCTGATAGAGAACAATACCAAGGTCATGCTTGAATGACTTGGCCAAGATCACACTTTAAGCGATAATGCTGAGATAGAACTCAGTTAGATTGTAAATATGTAGGTATTTACAATGTATTAATGTTTTAAAATACATTATTGTATTTCTATACGTTACAGTATTAGTTTGAATATAATTTCAGGACCCTGTTAGGTAGGTACCATTTATACAAGAGAATGGATTTCTAGAGGTTGGTTAAATGTTTACTCTCCCAATATCAGATAGTTAATAAGCAATTCAAATGGCATTTAAACCCAATTATGCTGTAATGTAAAGAACCTTTACATTCATAAAAGTTCAAAGAAACAGCTGTAAGAAAGTAAGTGCAATAGAAACTCGAATGTGTGGAATGATTTTTAAACAATCTGTATGCAACCTCTAAGGAAATAAACATTTCCAAAGAACTTATTTGGAAAGGATTAAAAACAACTTCTGTCCTAAGCAGTTATATATTCTTCTTTGATTTATGTTGCAAATCTGCTTAAGAAACTACTTCTTGATGGCCAGTTTAAGGTAACTTCAGTCTTGGCTGAGTTCAAATTAAGGAAGGATTAAGGCTTTTTGCAAAAAAGCCCAGGAGCCCCTTCATTTGACCATTCTCCTTAGACACCTTCCCTGATACCTTCAAGGAACCTGATTTTATTGAGCTGACTGGGGCACTAGGTGACATGACCACCATTTTTGATTTCTTTACCATGTGCTAGAAACCATACTTGGTAGGTTTTGTGATACCAGCAAGCACTCAAGTAAAGCATTATATCCCCCACTTAAATAGAGTGCCAGATGCTAATGGCTCATGCCTATAATCCTAGCCTAGTTAGGAGGTTGAGATCTGAGAAACATGGTTGAGAGCCAGCCCAGGCAGAAAAGTCTGTGAGACTCTTAGCTCCAATTAAACACCAAATTGCTGGAAGCAGAGCTGTGGCTCAAATGGTAGAGTTGCCAGCTTTGAGTGAAAAAGCCAAACAAGAGTAGGAGGCTGAATTCAAGCCCCAATATAGGCGTGCATGCACGCACGCGCACACACACACACACACACACACACGCATAATGCTAAGAAATAGAGGACCCACAGAGGTAGGTAGCTTGCCCAAGGCCATGTGGGTTCGAGGCAGAGCTGGGTTGTCTGACTGTAGTTGCAGTGTCACCTTGTTGGCCTAGAACATGCAGTACTGATAATCGCTGACTTATGAACAGGTCTTATCATTCTGGAAAGTGTCTCCCTTATCCTGCTATGTCTGGCCACACTCCTAGTGACAGGGAGGGTGGGTGGGGCAGAGTGACCACTCTCTTCGTGAGCTCCTGCCTGGCTTTTCTGTTCTACAGGCAGAGCCAAGCTGAGAACCCAGGAGCCTCACCCACGGGCTGTTTCTACTCGGCCATTGTAGACAGCCCGGAGCCTCTTCTACCCTGGGGAAGGACGAGTGGAAAGGAGGGTGGAGGTAGAAAAACATCTAAATTGTGTAAAAAGGAATAGAGAAGGGAAGCCAGGCCCAGTACCAACAAGGCTCATGGAGGCCCCTGGCTCCTCTTCAGCTGTCAGAAGATGGGTGGGAGCAGCTTCCAAGGATAGCCTGGGACAGTGGCCAAAGGGAAATAATGACATCTTTTAACCATCACAAGACCTGATGTTCAGCCTTGGCTGAGGCTAAAGGAGGCTAAGCAGCTCCCAGCCAACGCCTTCTCTTTGAGGCTAGGGAGCTGGAGCTGGATCTTTTTTTTTTTTTTGGTCCAGGGAGCTGGAGCTGGATCTTTTTTTTTTTTTTGGTCCAGTCGTGAGGCTCTACCACTTGAGTCATAGCGCCACTTCCGGCTTTTTTCTTTTTGCTTTTGTGGTGCTGAGGAATCGAACCCAGAGCCTCATGCATGCAAGGCAAGCTCTCTACCACTGAGGCACCTTCCCAGCCCGGATCTTTTCTTTACAGAGTTCAAAGAAGCCTTCTCATTGTTTGACCGGACTGCAGCGGGAGATATGAAGATCACTTATGCACAGTGCGGGGATGTGTTGAGGGCCCTGGGCCAGAACCCCACCAACGCTGAGGTGCTGCGTGTCCTGGGCAAGCCGAAGCCTGAAGGTCAGCGTGGGCTCCACCACCCCAGGCCTCTCTCTCAATTTGTTTCCTGTCACTCTTGCTGTCTCCTCCCCACATCTCGTTTTAAAATAGTGCTTCTGAGCCGGGTGCTGGTGGCTCACGCCTGTAATCCTAGCTACTCAGGAGGCTGAGATCTGAGGATCGCGGTTCAAAGCCAGCCCGGGCAGGAGAGACCGTGAGACTCCTATCTCCAATAAACCACCAGAAAACCGGAAGTGGTGCTGTGGCTCAAGTGGTAGAGCGCTCGCCCTGAGCTGAAGAGCTGAGGGACAGCGCCCAGGCCCAGAGTTCAAGCCCCATGACCGACCAAAAAAAAAAAAATAGTGCTTCTGGGCCAGCCTCCTTCATCCAGCCTACCCTGGTCCCACTTCAAGATGGAATCTAGAAGCCCCAGCACTTGGTTGTTCATTGAAGAACCTAATGGTCCTATCCCCCTCATTGGGTCTCACACTCCTGGGGGGGGGAGAGGGGGGGGCAGAAGAAACAGTTGTTACTTCTGCAGCTTTCCCTAGTACTGAACCCCAGTTATACTCCCAGGGACATGGCCATGAACAGGAAGGCTAGGTGGGAATCTGACAGCTAACCACCTTGCCATACCTCCCCCCCCCCCCATCCCCATGCCAACTTCTTAGCCCAGGGCTCTGTCATAAAACCTCATCCTGTGACTATTGTGAGTTGTACCGTCAAGAATTTATTTCAGAGGGCTGGGAAGGTGGCTCAGTGGTAGAGAGCTTGTCTTGCATGCCTGAGGCCCTGGGTTCGATTCCTCAGCACCACATAAGCAGAAAAAAAAGCCGGAAGTGGCACTGTGGCTCAAGTGGTAGAGCACTAGCCCCCCCCCCCCCCAAAAAAAAGAATTTATTTCAGTAATGACTGACAAATATTTGTCAGTCATGGGGCTTGAACTCTGGGCTTGGCTCTTTCTCTCAAGGCTAGTCTCTACCTCTTGAGCCACAGTGCTACTTCCAGTTTTCTGATGGTTAATTGGAGATAATAGTCTCATGGACTTTGCTGTTGGGGCTGGCTTTGAACTGTGATCCTCAGATACCAGCCTCCTAGGTAGGTAGGATTACAGGGGTGAGTCACCGGTACCTGGCTTTAAAATTTTTTTTTAATATTAAATCAGAGCAGATTTCAAACTAGTTCTGTATGCTGAGGCCTTGTCCAGCCATTTGTACCAAAACTTGATTGTTTTTGCTGAATGAACTTTTAGAAACAGATGTTGTAGAATGTGAATGTCATATATCATGTGTGATAGTGAAGTTGAAAGCTTCCACCTAATCATGGACTTTTCTTCAGAGGCACAGGCAGGAGAAGGGACTGGGCAGATTTGGGCAGTATACCCAGGAAAGATGGATTTTTCTGTCTCTGGGGGCTCAGAGTAGTCCTCCCCCCCCCACTTCTCTAGATGAAGTACCAGGGTTGGGGGTGGGAAGGTCCAGAGGACCAGAGCTTGTCCAGGCCAGCAGGACTTCTTAGAGGTCAAAAGATGACTTGGACTATTTCCATTGGTGCTGGTGGGGGGAATGAGGTGGTGTTCATAGGTGACTATAAAGAAAGAAATACCAAAATCTTGCTCCATTTAAAAATTATTTTCTGGGGCTGGGAAGGTGGCTCACTGGTAGAGCGCTTGCCTTGCATGCTCGAGGCCCTGGGTTCGATTCCTCAGCACCACATAAGCAAAAAGTAAAAAGCCGAAAGTGGCGCTGTGGCTCAAGTGGTAGAGCACTAGCCTTGAACTGAAGAGCTGAGGGACAGCGCCCAGGCCCAGAGTTCAGGCCCCACGACTGGACCAAAAAAAAAAAAAATATTTACTACAGGCACTGGTGGCTCACACCTATAACCCTTAGCTACTCAGGAGGCTGAGATCTGAGGATCAAAGCAAGTCTGCACAGGAAAGTCCAATTAACCCAGAAAACCCTAAGTGGTGCTGAGGCTCTAAGTGGCAAAGTGCTAGCCTTGAGCAAAAGAGCTCAGGGACAGCACCCAGGGCCTTAGTTCAAGCCCTATGACTGACAACAAAAGAAAATTATATTGAAGTGTGGGAAATAGTGTACTATTACCAAGAAAATGACAAATGTACAAAAAACAGATCAAGTCTAAGTACTCAGGCAGGCTATTCTAATCATGGGACAGAGTTATAAATATTTGTTTTTTTTCCCATTCAATTGCTTTCCAGTGACTCTTTCACTTGTCAGGTGAGGCTAGGGCCAGAATCTCGATGTTGTCACCCTCAGCCCCTCTTGTCTAGCTGGCCACCTGAAGCTCAGAAGTCTGCATGATAGAGTTTCCCCTGCCCCCGTTCAAGTTTCCCAAGTGCTTGCCTTGCTCTGCTGGGCATCTCTGTGCCCTCCAGGGAGACTGGCTGAGTGGCCCCTCCACAAACATCTGTAACCCTAAGTCCAGGGTGCTGTTCACCCGTGAGGCTCTTCTTGGCCCCTGTTCCCTGCGCATCAGCTCACGTGGCTTTCTTTGTCCTCTTGCCTGTTGGAAGAGATGAATGCCAAGATGCTAGACTTTGAGACATTCCTGCCCATCCTGCAACACATCTCCCGCAACAAGGAGCAAGGCACCTATGAGGACTTCGTGGAGGGGCTGCGTGTGTTTGACAAGGAGAGCAATGGCACCGTCATGGGCGCTGAGCTTCGCCATGTCCTTGCCACCCTTGGTATGTCAGCTGGATGGAGATAAAGCCCAGGTGGGAGGGAGGGGAAGAGGGAGGGGCCAGGGGCAGTAGCCAAGGGTCTTCATGCCTGATCCAAGGCCTATCTACCGGGGCTCTGAAGTTACAGCTATCCTCAACTGGAGTTGCCAAGAATGTATCAGCAGTTGGAAGAGGCGAGAAGTTGGCAGAGCAGGGGTCACTCTCAGGCCTGAGAGAGGGGCCCTGAGCTTCTGTTTCTTTTCTTCTTTTAAAATAAAAATTTTAATTTTAATTTTAAAGGTGATGTAAAGAGAGGTTACAGTTACATAAGTCAGGTAAAGAGTACATTTCTTTTGAGACAATGTCACCCCTTCCCGCTTTTGTTTCTTGCAACTGTCACAGGCCCAGGTGGTCAGAAAGAGAAAGATGGGGGTGGGGTGGGGGTGGGTGGGCAGGCTTCAGGGAGAAGGTGGGGCTTAAATTTCCTTGAGCCCACCTTCCAGAGCCTATGGGGAGACTTGCCTGAACCACTTTCCAGATCCAGGGCATCTTGGACCTCCAGCCCTAGGGCATACTTGGGCTTTGCCATTTGTAATTGAGAGACTACTGCCCTCCCACCCCCTACTCCAGGAGAGAAGATGACAGAGGCTGAGGTGGAGCAGCTGTTGTCTGGGCAGGAGGATGCCAATGGCTGCATCAATTATGAAGGTATCTGTCCTGCCTTGCTTGGCAGGGAGCCCCGTGTGGGAGGGTGGTGTGGCAATGGGCTTGGACTGTCCTTCAGGATGTATACATCACATAGGCTAGATGGACTCCTGCTGGGTGCTGCCCTTTTCCATCTTTGTGGAAATGGAGCATCCTGGGAAGAGCATGAGTTCTATGTGACTTGTGTGCCTTGTGACCTGACCTGTGTGACTTGGATCAAATCACTTACCTTCTCCCAGCCGCGGTTTTCTCACCTGGGCAGTGGGGCCATGCTGAGTACATTCTCAAGGTTACAGGGCTTCATGGGGACTATAGTCTACGGCAGAATTGAGGTCTTTTCTTCCTTCTTCCTTTTCCCCACCAACCCTTTAATCGCAGCCTGGAAGGGGGCAGTGGGAGGCCTGAAGTGTAGGACAGAGGAAAGTAGTTTAAGCAATGGAGAAGGAAGTAAGGAGTAGAAACAGGCCAAGTCCAATGGCTGATTTTCTGCTCTCTTTCCTAGCCTTTATCAAGCACATCATGTCTTGCTGAAGCAGATCCCTCCCGGGTGAGTGCCACCTCTCTCCCTTGTTCCCTTCGGGGACATAGAGACTCCACACTACCACATGCCGTGTTGCTCTTCTGCTCCAGGTCTCTTAAGAGGAAATGGCCCTGGCCACTGTTTCCCCTGGGGTCGTAGTGCCCTGGTTCCCTTCCTTCCCTACCAACTGCTCTCCCTTGTCTTTTCATCCCAGCATGACCTTTATTGTCCAGTCCTCTGCCTGTGCCAGATCTCTCTGGCCTGGGACCCCTGCACAGGCTCTGGGGTGGGAGAAAACCCCATCTCAAGTGACTGATGCCAGTCCTCTTTCTCCCTTCCATGTGCTCCCTTGGGTATGGGACTGGCCTGACAGCGATATGGGGTTGTGGTGGGGAGTGTAGTATGGGAGTGACAGGCCCTCTCCATCTAGCACTTTCTTTCAGGTGCTTGGCCCTGGAACAGGCCATCTTTGGGTGAGTTATGAGAGGCCCATATGAAATGGACGACTGGACTTAGCCACTATGCTGCAGCCCCAGGAGCCCTATCCACAGTCCTCCCTGTAAATAAACAGCTTCAGGAAGGCTAGGTTGAATTCCTGATTCTAACCAGGCTCTGAGTTGTTTTTTTGAACCTAATTAATTGAGTGATGTGTGTGTGTGTGTGTGTGTGTGTGTATCTGTCTGTCTGTCACCTAAGACCTTGTATGTGTTCTCAGAGAAATGAGTCAGATCCGGGAGCTGGGGGACAAGGACAAAAGCTCAAGGATCTGGAAATACTGAGTCAGACCCATGAGCGAGAGTTCTGGAAGTGCTGTTTGACAAGCCAGGAGTTTCATTCTTTAACACTCACTTCCTACCTCATCTCCCCCTCAGGTGGTCAGTAGGAAAGGGGACAGCAGGACCTCAAAGGGTAGTAACCTTCCTCCTCCTCCTCCTCTTCCAGATCTTCTTCCTCCTCCTTCTTCCTCCTCCTGCGTTTCCTCTTTCTCTTCTTTCAATTTTGGGTGAGAACTGGAGATGTGGCTCAGGGTAGAGTGCTTGCTTAGCATGCATGAGGTCCTGGGTTCTGTCATACACACACACTCACATACACACACACACACTCACATACACACAGATATCCACACTCACACATGCACATACAGATACACACACTCATTCAAAATTATGGTAAAACACAGGTAACATCAAACTTAGCATCTTAACTCTTTTGAGGCATACAATCCAGTACTCTTAGAGCACATGTATTGTTGTATACCCAATCTCCACAACTTTCTTATCCTCTCAGATGAAGCTTTGTGCCCATTAAACATCTTCAGTCCCCCCTACTCACTGGCAATCTGTTTTATGACTCTGTCTACTCCAGATAAGTGGAATTGTGACTGGAATTCCATTCAAAATAATGTCCTCAGTGTTTGTCCATGTGGTACCATGTGTCTCAACCTCCTTCCTTTTTATGTGCAGAAGAGTACAGTTTGCCTTTGGTCCTTGCTTAGTTGTTTTATTTTTGGGGGGGGGGGCGGGGATAGGGAGGCTGGTCATGGGACTTGAACTCAGGCCTGGGTGCTGTCCCTGAGCTTCTTTTCTCAAAGCTAGTGCTCTACCACTTTGAGCCACAGCACCACTTCTGGTTTTTTAGTAGTTAATTGGAGATAAGAGTGTGATGAACTTTCCTGCCTGGGCTGGCTCTGAATCGTGATCCTCAGATCTCAGCCTTCTGAGTAGCTAGGATTACAAGCATGTGCCACTGGCGTGTGGCCCTTGCTTCTTGATTTAGGCATTTGAGGTGCCTATTTCTCTGAGTATGAAGCCTCTGGGACCTGACTGAGTCCTGCTGGGCTGACATCTCTGTGATGCTAGATTTGGATTCCAATGCAGGGCCCTGCAAAGGGTCAGACTCCAAGACCATGGACATCAGGCTGGGAGGGCAGGGGAATGGGAAGAGGCAAGGAGAAAGAGAGACAAAAACAAAACAAAACAAAACACCCAGTGATTGAGAAGGAAGAGAAATATGATTTGATGAAGATAAAGATGTATGGGTGGGGCTGGGAAGGTGGCTGAGTGGTAGAGCGCTTGCCTTGCATGCATGAGGCCCTGGGCGCCATTCCTCAGCACCACATAAGCAAAAAGAAAAAAGCTGGAAGTGGCGCTGTGGCTCAAGTGGTAGAGTGCTAGCCTTGAGCTGAAGAGCTGAGGGAGAGCGCCCAGGCCCAGAGTTCAGGCCCCACCACTGGACCCCCCCCCCCCAAAAAAAAAGATGTATGAGTAAATAGAAATACTTGTGTTAGAGCTCAGGGATATGGTGACCCCAGTATGGGATCCCTGAATTCTGCGGTGTACTTTTCACAGCATCATGACTATTGGACTTCCAGCCATAGATGTCTGCAGAACACCTATGAATGCCAGCCATAGCTGCCTGTTTGTCATGGGAAGCAGAGAACAGCATTAGAAGCAGAGAATGGCAAAAGTCCACATTTAATTTGCCCTTCTCAGGATTTACAATCCTGCTAGGGACATGAGGCTGAGGCTCAGGAATGTGCCCTTCTGTCTTCTTCCCCCCCCCCTTTTTTTTTTTTAAATAGTATCATTTAGTTTTGCAAGGCTGTTCTACGTTGACATGTCCATTTATGTATACAAGGCATCTTGATTATACTCACCAATTATGTCATTCCCTCCTCACTATTCCCTTTCCAAACCATGCCATCAAGATTCCTTATTCCATTTTCACACATGTACATGCGATATTTTAATTATATTCACCCTTCTCCCATTCCATTTGTCTGTCCCCTCTTGCTAGTACCTATACCCGAGATGTGTTTCTAATTCCTAATACTCTTTTTTTTTTCTGCCAGTCCTGGGGCTTGAAATCAGGTCCTGGCCACTGTCCCTAAGCTTCTTTTGCTCAAGGCTAACACTCTACCACTTGAACCACAGCACCACTTCTGGATTTTTCTGTTTATGTGGTACTGAGGAAGTAAATCCAGGGCTCCATGCATGCTAGGCAAACACTCTACTACTAAGCCACATTCCTGGCCCCTACTATTTTCTTTTAATTGAAGTGTATGATAATTATTTTTTTTTATTTTTTATTTTTTTTATTTTTATTTTTTTTTTGGGGTCCGGTCGTGGGGCCTGAGCTCTGTCCCTCAGCTCTTCAGCTCAAGGCTAGCGCTCTACCACTTGAGCCACAGCCCCACTTCCGGCTTTTCTTTTCTGCTTATGTGGTGCTGAGGAATCGAACCCAGGGCCTCAGGCATGCAAGGCAAGCGCTCTACCACTGAGCCACCTTCCCAGCCCCTGTATGATAATTATTGAAGGAGGTTCCCCTATGGTATCTCACACATGCATAAACCATAATTTAGTCAGACTAATCATATATATCTATATATGATCCTGTGTGTTTATGTTATATTTTAGAAAGTATGTGACCTTTGTCCTTCTGAGGCTGGCTTACTTTAGTTAATATGATGGTTTCTAGATCCATTCATTTCTCTGCAAATAACATAATGCCATTCTTCTTTAAGGCTGAATAATATTTCATTTTGTATATATGCCATATTGCCTTGATCCATTCATTAGTTGCAGAGCATCTGTGCTATAGCAATAAATATGAGTGTGCATGTGCTTCTTTTACATACTGACTTACATTTCTTTGGAAAATACCCAACAGAGGACCATAAGGTAGTTCTGTTTTTGGTTTTTTGAGGAGCCTCCATACGGATTTCTATAGTTGTATTAGTTTACAGTCCCACCATCAGTCCATGAAGGTCCTCCCTCCCCCTATCCTCTCAGCATTTGCTGGTGTTTGTGTTCTTGATGATGGTTATTCAAACTGGAGTGAGAAAGAATGCCAATGTCATTTTGATTTATATTTCCTTCATGGCCAGGAATGACAAGCACTTCTTCCTGTAATTATTGGCCATTTTTACTTTTTTTTTTTGAGAAGTGCCACTTCAGTTAATCTGCCCATTTAATTAATTGGAGTATGTATGTATGTATATATTTAAGCTCTTATTCTGTTGGTTTTTTTTTTTTTTGGTTGGTCGTGGGGCTTGAACTCTGGACCTGGGCACCTGAGCTCTTTAGCTCAAGACTAGTGCTCTACCACTTGAGCCACAGCACCACTTCTGGTTTTCTGAGTGATTAATTGGATATAAGAGTCTCACAGACTTTCCTGCTAGGGCTGACTTTGAACCGTGATCCTCAGATCTCAGCCTCCTGAGTAGCTAGGATTACAGGCACGAGCCACCAGTGCTCAGCTTATTCTGGTTTTTAGATCCTTGTCAGATATATAGCTGGCAAAGATTTTCTCCTATTCTGTAGACTGTCTTTTTGGCTTAGTTACTAAATCTTTTGTTCTGCACATACTTTTTAGCTTGATTCAGTACTATTTGTCAATCCTCTCTCCTATTTGTTGAACCACTGGAGTTCTATTCAAGAAATTCCAGCCTATGTTGAGAAGTTCTGGTATTTTCCATTCTTTCCTGTAGTAGCTTCAGAATTTTAGGTCTTACATTAAGTGTCTGATCTACTTTGAATTGATATTAGTACAGAATGTGCGGTGGGGGCCATTTGTATTTGTCTGCATGTGATTATCCAGTTTTCCCAGCACCATTTGTTGAAGTCATCTTTCCTCCAACATACATTTGGGATCCTTTGTCAAAAATTAGATGGCTGTAGGTATATGGGTTCATGTCTGTACCTTCTAATGTGTTCCATTTGGCTTCAGGGGTGTGTGTGTGTGTGTGTGTGTGTGTGTGTGTGTGTGTGTGTGTGTGTGTGTGTGTGTGTGTGTGTGTGATGCTGTTTTTATTTTGTGCCTTTGTAGTATAATTTGAAATCTGGAATTATGATGCCTCCAACATTGCTTCCCCCCGCCCCAACATCATAATTGTTTTGGCTATTTGAGGCTTTTTGTACTTCCTTGTAAATTTTAGGAGTTGATGAGCCATTTCTCATTACTGGTGGAGAGATATAGCTCTAATGAATTTACCAATTAAAAACCCAACCAGATCTTTACAATCAGTAAGATACTATTGATAATATTATCTACATGGCCAACCATGTGCTATAAGCCAGTGGATAGAGATTTATATGGTACCAGAAGGTGCTGGAAAGATCAGAGTACTATGTATAGAGTTGAGAACTAAGCTACTGAGAATAGGGAGGAGGGTGAGGGAAGAAATATGTAGTAAGAAAAATGGGGAGAAGGGCAGTGGACTGTGAAGGCTGCAGTCATGTAGTATGTGCACACATATTTTGCTCAAGGCTAGTGCTCTACCACTTGAGCCACAGCTTCTTTTTCTAGTAGTAGTTTCTTTCTTTTTTTCCCTTTTAATTGGAGTTAAGAGTCTTATAGACGTTACTGCTCAGGTTGGCTTTGAATCAGGATCCTTAGATCTCAGCCTACTAAGTAGCTAGGATTACAGGTGTGAGCCACCAGTGCCTGGCCAAGGCTCCTTTTACATTGTGTCCTCACAATGAAAGGTTTCTACCTGTGACCTAAGATGGCTGCTGCCACATAGCCATCGTTTCCACTGAGGAAAGA